CAAACTATCTTTCATAGAACATTTTTAATGTACAGTGTTATGGCACTATATCTTTTTGTGTGATGTGAAAGTGATACTACCCACACAGTGACACATATAAAGATTCCTTTTATAATGAATTTATTCATGTTGAAGTATAATGTAAACAGATGATACAGTTACGATTTTAGATCTTCCATGTTAAAAAGTTAAATTTTGATCTGCACCGGTAATATAATAGTCATAGGAGTAGTGTAATTAGGTAAAGTAAAACTTCACTAAACCAGACCTGGGCACTGCAGCCCGTTCTTGTTAATTTTGATTTTAACATTCTGGATAGCTAGCTCAACTATATTTGATTCTGGATATCAATCAAGAGTAATCAGATAATATTTACAGTACATGGTTGAAGGTTAATGTAAATTGTTGCATTTCAAGTTACTTATTACAAAGTTTTAATGTTCTTAATCGTGTCTCGATTGTCATGCATGCACCTACTTGGTTTGGATAAGTTTAAATCACCAACACGCTGATGGCGTCTTGTAAGCAATTACCGGAGTAGTGTTTTTTTTTTCCGCAATAATATAACAGAGTAACATCAAATACAAGATACATTGAATGCAATAAAAGGAAAAATAGCAAATAGAATGTTCTTTTCTGTTTTTTGTTAATTGATATTAATACACAATATCATATTTGATGTGTTCAAAACTTGAAAGAATTTTTCCAAAACCTTTGCCATTAAGGATGGCTTCTTCGAATATATTTCTAAAATGTATTGGATCTTCACCCCACGTGGTAGGTGAAGTTTCAGCGTGCACGTCGATGCCATAGGGTAGGCTTTTATATCAGGATTTGGTGAAAAAAATTGACATAGATGTTGTCTTCAAATCCCACTGGTGGAATGACATCAGTTCCACTGAAAAATGCCAGAATGTCACTAAGTGATGTTCTTGTCTTGCCATCTAAAATGAAGAGAGTGATACTTGTTCTATTTTGCGTTATTAAAAATTCACAGAATTTAATTTTTATTACCTCCACCAAATGTTCGGAGGCGGTATGTTTGTCAGTTATGTATGTTTGTCTGTCTGTTTGTTTGCACTCTACAGGTTGCATTTTTGGATTTTTGATCACCATGACTGGCTATAACTTAGATCCCATTAAATTTTCATTGGTCGGAAGGTAGAAAAACTGAGGTCCAGGTCAATCATAATATTTGACTCTGACAAATTTCACATTATGACACATGCCATTAAATGGAAGGTCAGGTAAGGTCAAGGCCAAAAAAAAGATATCATAGGAGCATATAATACAGTCAAGCATTTCGACATAGGCTAATTGATGCAGACACTTTAAACCTGACTAGTTTTGAAACTTATTATATAGTTTGACATTTCATGACCCTGGCCTTTAATGTTGACATTAAATATTGGTTTGGAGTATATTTGTCTGTCGGTGTATGAGTGTGTATCTGTGAACAGCCTAAAGCTGGTTCTTAAATATTGAAGGGACGGTAAAAAATGCAGGGTCAAAGAATAAACTTAAAATCTGTACTAATAATAATTTGATTACAAGATTTATAAAGCGCACATTCAATGCAGTAGTGTTCAAGGAGCTACAGAAGGATGGATCACAAATTAAAATAAACCTTAAATCAGAAAAAGGAGCACCACACTCACCACTGCATAATTTATAGGCAATTTGAGAAAAATAATACTGTACGTACAATGTTTGGTGTATTTATACGAAACCCTTCAGTTATACTGTGTTACTTGTGAATACAATTTGAAGCAGTGTTTAGAGTAGTGTTTTTTAAACTCGCAGACCTGGGTTCAAATACTAAAAGTACCATATATACTTAGGCATATAACATTAAGAGGGTATGTTAAAAAATAATTACCTTCACAGTCCTTGTGAGGAAAACCTCCCAGCAAAAAATGGTGTCATCCTCCCTCAAATTGGATCCTTCTTCAGAATATGACACCATCATGATACTATTCAAGAAACTCTCTTGTCATGGTTTCTTTTCCCTCTGATGTAAATAATGACATCAATGTATCTGGGAATTCTTTGACTATGCTCCATAGGATACAGCACCAATGCATTCAACACATTAGTGTATCTGGGACTGTGTCCTAAGTTTCCAAAATATAAAGGCAGTTCATGAATACTGTGCATGAACAATCATCAAAATAATGCAAAAATATAAGAATCATGGGCGGATCCAGAGACGTCTTTCAATGTACTGTCGTAGTCTGGATGTCTAGGTTTATTATTAATTATTATTATTTAAGGTATGCATCACTATAAAGCTATATACCTATGCCTAGGTCATAGGCCTACAAACAGCCCAGAGAGAGACCCATCTATACATATGAATGACTAGCCTAGGCCTGGCCTATCAGACAGACCTTGGCCTAGCTAGGGCCTAGGCATACACTATACCTTACTTACCAACCCTACTACTACTAGGCCTAGATTAGAGAGGCCTGTGATATTTTAGATATAGACCTTTAATATTAAAACATTGTTTTGGTGGACAATAATAAAATATTTATAAAAGTTATCTTTAGGCCTAACCCTATTTTCTGCAAAACTCTTATTATGATTGTTACAAGAGTGTGTCGGTGATCGACGTGACGGCGCGAAGTGATAACAATGCACAAGTTCCACTAGGCTCATTCCCACAGCCGTTGCTTTTTTCCACTTGAACCGATGTCAAAGATCATGTTTGCGCCGAATACTAAAAGAGCCTAATGGTAAAAGCACCGAATGATAAAAGAGCCGTACGTAATGATGAAAGGGCCGAACGTAATGATGAAAGGGCCGAAATGTAAAAGCACCAAATCATATGAATTTGTACGCGCTCTTTAGTTGCGCGCTGGCATAAATTGATAAAACTGCTCTAAAAAGAACCTGAAAACACCCTTTTTTACAGCCTTTTCTACCATAGCTTTGGAACTGCTCATCAGATCAATTTCCTCCTTTTTTTAAATAAAAGATCTATCTTTCCTCTTTCTAATGAGATGAAATGAAACGAGATAGATTTATTTTTTTATCCTGTCACTTTTGGATTAAAAGTAGGCAACTAAATTGGATTTCCAGCGTAGAAAGCAGATGTTTTACCTTTCGCGGCTCATGTTACCAAATTCTAATCAGAATAACTCGCAAAGTATTTGACCAATCGGTTTCTCTGTAAGTTGATCTTTATTCTTTCTACCATGCTTGTTGTAAAAATGGTTTTGATTAGTCAATATTTAGCCCTGTCACTTTTGGAAACCAATAGAATCAAGCCTTCCAAACACCATTGATTGTATTGTATACAGGCCCTTGTTTCAGCGTAATCATTTTCATCCGGCGACTGATGCGAAGACTGGAGTGTGCCTGGTGTTTGTTTGATAAGTTAGACCCTTTTTATTGCTCTTTTTACTTCATGAAATATATGAATGGAAAGCTTATGATTAGTAGATTTTCATCTTGTTAATATAATTAGGTTTGCAGTTATAATTTTGCTTCCTTCAAAATTCACATGTTACAGTGAAATGAATGCAAGCGTTTGCCGGTTCACTACGTAGCCTACATCACGCTCTGAACTCGCACAGAGGAAACATTAGAAAGACTGGGGTGTGCCTGGTGTTTGTTTGATAAGTTAGGGGTCATCCATAATTATCAACATTTTAAAAACATAATCTTTTCTGTTACCCCCTCCCTCCCCCCGAAAGAGTACACAATAAATGTTGATCTGTGTCATTTTGAGATCAACATTTTATGTTTTTCATAAAAGAGTACTTATGCTTACACTTTCAACCCCCTAAAGCATACCTGTTTTGTAGTATTTTGAAAATGTTGATAATTATGGATGGCCCCTTACACCCTTTCTATTGCTCTTTTTACTTCATGAAATATATGAATGGAAAGCTTATGATCAGTAGATGCTCATCATGTAAATATAATTAGGTTTGCAGTTATAATTTTGCTTCACTCAAAATTCACATGTTACAGTGAAATGAATGCAAGCGTTCGCCGGTTCACTACGTAGCCTACATCTCGCGCTGAACCGGCACAGGAAACATTGAATGATACGCGCTAGATAGCAAGAATTAATCTGTTCTGTTAGGTGCTGTTTTTGGCTCTTACAAATTCATATGGATAAAAGAGCCGTACGTAATGATGAAAAAGAAGTACATAATGATAAAGAGTCGTACGTAATGATAAAAGAGACGTACGTAATAATACAACAGTCGTACGTAATGGTAAAAAAAAAGCCGTATGTAATAATGAAAGGGCAAATGGTAAATGCGCCGAACGAAAATTAGCCACAAAAGGCTGTAACGGCGTTCCATATACGCCACCATCCTAATCAATTTGACCACAAAACGTTGGATAAAATTAGGTTGAGCGACAAGAATATGGTGTAGAAAGGTCGTTGGTGACAATACTGGGCGAAAACCGGTGAAAGTTGCTTTGGGAACTCGAGTTGTGCAATGTCCGGGATGCAACATTCTGTGTCTGTGGTTGGCGTGGTTTGTTTGTCTAGAATTCTATAGAAAATCGGACAACCAACGCGTATTACTTAATATCCCTCAATATTTTTAAAATGCAGGCTCTAATTAGGCTAGAAAAATAGATCATGACACATTATTTAAAGGAAACGATCATCCAAATTTTAAGCACAAGTAATCAAATATCAAGCATGCCTAAACCAAAATTATGTTAGTGAATATCTGGTTCACTATCACATTAAATAATAACATATTAGACACTTTTCTTTCGGTTACAAAACTATATTAACCATTTGACTTAAAAGTATCCCTTTCACACAGTGATAAATATATCGTGATCCAACTGAAGGAAACACGATAATACAGGATTAACTATCTGCAAGTTGGGACTAGAACTTACTCATTTAATGGCCTTATTTGGACCACAGCTTTTGAGAAACACGTTGTCATGTTCAACATCTTTTTTTGTAGGAAGCACTTCTCCAGTACAGGGTATTTAGTCATCATGTGTTTAGTGATGATGTCATCATTGACGGAAGTTAAATTTACTACTTAATTGGGGCCTTTCTGAGTTCGGAAAGACATTCAATCGGTTCGATTTCATCCTTCAAGCTGACACTTTGCCGAAACCTGCCAAAATGAAGTGCACTTTTATTCTCACAATCACCTTTGGTAAGTTTTTGAACTATTGAGTTTTTATGTTAATATGTACTTGTTCTTTCAGGAATGCATTTAAGCGCATAGCGACTATCCAGTAATATGCGCTTTACAAATACACAGTCATTTACCATTAATTTAATGTAGGCCTAATGTAGCATTTTTATATCTGTTTAAAATACATAAAACACACGTATTCGTAATCGTTGAGAAATGGACAATGAAAAGATTTTTAGAACCATTATACAAAATTATATTGCACATCCTGAAATTCGTTCTTTTGTCATAAAATAATTTTATCACATAAAAATATTGACATAATAATAAGCAATTTTTTTTAACAGTTTTTTCAACAGTTTCATTTTATGCCGATTTAATATGCTATATATTCTAATCAATTTTTACGATAATCGTAAATTTGGCATTCTTCGACTTTAAACTTATTATTATATATTTCATGTGCTTGTTACGAGAAAATAAGTTAATTCATAAGAAGTATTAAAGTTGAAATTTAATAAGACATGAGCCTAGTTATACGTGACGTAAAAGTAAGTCTGTTGAAAGAAAATATACATTCGTAAGTTAAGAATTTTGAATGTACAAACCCTGTGACTATGAATATAAGCATCATATGTACAAATATTACATTAAGATCTTGTTTTCGTTATTGGTATTATACTCCCCATAATATACTCGTTGTAACTGTCACCTATCCAAATAGATATAAAATATAGTCATATTTACTGCATTGTATGCATAATGGTTTATCTATATAGATAATTGTTTACATAACATATCTTTTTCAGCATACTTATGTTCGTATATAAATGGACAAATTGTACCAATTGGAACAACGACCCCTCCCTTTAGGGGTAATGGTGTTGGTGGCGTCGGTGGAGGCACCGGTGTCAATGGTGTAGGTGGAAACAACAATGGAGGAACCGGTGGAGCTCCAGACTATGGATATGGTGCATCTGTATTTCCATATCCAACGTATCAACCTGGTAGCTCTAATGGTAACGATGATAATTCCGTCGAAGATTCAACGACAGTCAACCCTAACGGTAACGGTGCTAATGGACCAAATGCACAAAAAGCTATGAGCGGTGGTGGACAATTCGCACTTGGTTTCGTTGCTGTTTTATTCGTCGTCGGTTGTGCTGTTCTTCTAGTATTCCTCGTACGCCGCAAACGAGCCCAGGCTATGAAAGATTCAACCCGAGCCCAAGCTTCAGCATAGAATATTATTTAAAAACAGAAGAAATTCTGCTATTATTTCAATTAGAAGTTATTCAAAGAATTATGAGTAAAAAGTCTACAAATTTATATTGTACATCAATTTACAAATAGGCAGGCCTATTTGTGAAGGCTTTAGTGTTGTTATCGAGTCATAGTTTTATAAATAATACTAAATCAAAAACAAAAATTCTGTATGTATTTTATAGTAAAATTGTAGAAGAAATGATAGTAGCATACTATTTGCATTTGTGTATTTGAACAGATATTTTGTTCAATGTATTTGATTATAGATTACTAAGACGCTGCAAATGTTTTTGAATTTTAAAAATGTAACGAAGTAGGTTACAAATCAACGGAAAATCGAAGAATCCAATGTTCAGACATTCGCTGATTTACGTTTCTTTATAAATGTTAAGCTGTTTGTCAATTAACTGTTTAAAGAAACAGAAATATATTTTAAATTCGTTACTTTAAATGAATGGTTTTGTCAGTAACAAGGTAATTATTTTTATATCCGTTACTTTAAATCACTTACTTTTAAATAGCGACATTGATTATATTCTTAAATGTAAGTGTTTTAAGAAACAAATATAAAAATATAAAATATATTTTTAAATTTAACTGCTTTAAGAATGAAACATGAGAAGTACTGAATGTATTTTAAAATTCAACTGTTTTAAAGGAATCTATTCTAAAATTAATTTTGTAATTTTGCAAAGTTGATAGAAATGGATGTGGTAGCAGGAAATCGGAAATTAATGACTAGTTCCCACATTCTGAAAGTTAGTGACTCATCGGCTTCCTGATTAAGAAAAGAACGTGCATTATAATTCAACTTACTTTACCATTAAACGAACTTCCACGTTACGTAACTCTTGTATTCTGTCATTATTATATTCTGTATGTACATTTCATTAGCTGAAGTCGGGCATATATTATCCTAGTGGTGTCCCTCAAATAGACATTATTTTAGCAAACCTGGACTAATACAGGGCATTGTGCACGGCTGACGTCACAGAAATCTGACCGAATACCTGATAGTGTATGTTCAGTGTCACAGATTTCCAATGAATTCTAAATTGGTCTCTAGATCTCCAGGCAGAGTTTCTTGAAGGCGGGACTAAGATCGTTTGTTAATTCGGCATCCGGCTGAATTTACTATAGATTGTTAGCCCAAGAAGTCAAAATTGCTGACCTACTTTGTCAACTATAACTCAACAGCTAGAAATTATTACCAACCCAAAACCCAGAATGAACTCTTATGCAGGGGTGGCGCCAGAGGGGGGGGGGGGGTTTGGCAGGAGACAGCCCGCGTCGGAGAGAAAAACCACGATTCAATGTGTTTTCTACATAGGCCTATTAGTAGACCACAAAACCGATTAAATTATCCTTTAAAACCCCTAAATTGTCATATCTTCGTCCCCTGGAAAACGTTCGAGAGATTTGAGCGAGCCAGACCACGCCCATTTTGTTTCGTCGGGGACATCAGACCCACTGCTCTCATGGTTGCACTGCTGCCAATCTCTCAAAGGAAGATAATTAAAATTAGGCAGGAATATAGCCCACATTAACAAGACGTATCCAGTTAATAAACAACATGTATAAAATGATTAGTTTCTTCTTTGCGTTTTGAGTTCGTTTAAACCTTTCTACGAGTGATAATTAAAATTAGGCAGGAATATATATACTGACATTAACAAGACCAGTTAATAAACAACATGTTTAAAATGGCTAGTTGCTTCTTTGCTTTTTGAGTTCGTTTGAACTATTTTACGAATGAGTGGGGACGTACAAGCTTCTTTTTAAAATTTATATTTGCTTAGTCAGCGTTGCCCAAGTTGACTGTACACTAGTAAAAAATTTGCAATGCTTTAAACATTTTAAAATTTAAAATGTAAAATTTTAAAGTGTAACAAATATTCTCCATAGTGGCAGATTCAATGGGAACCCAGTCGCCACCTTCCCACCTATTTTTGTTTATTATTTAAAAAATGGAGAAAAAATTGGATTCGAGTGGGGACGTACAAACTTCTTTTAAAATTTATATTTGCTTAGTCAGCGTTGCCCAAGTCGACTGTACACTAGTAAAAAATTTGCAATGCTTTAAACATTTTAAAATTCAAAATGTAAAATTTTAAAGTGTAACAAATATTCTCCATAGTGGCAGATTCAATGGGAACCCAGTCGCCACCTTCCCACCTATTTTTGTTTATTATTTAAAAAATGGAGAAAAAATTGGATTCAAATTTAACCCTGAGAGTTCCATTTCCGGCCATCTGTCGTAATCATAAATTTTCTTACCTCAGCTGCAACCATGGTAAGGCTGAGATGGTATTAACACCATAACTGTAAAAGTCCTTCCCGGGGCCCCTCTATTTCAAATCACTGGACCAGCCATTCCTCCATATTATAAAATTTAACATTCAGCACACAAAATATCAAAAGTCTAGTGTATTTTGTTAAGCAAATAAATCGCAACGATTTTTACCGCTACTTTGTGTTCGACATGTCTTGTGGGCCTAAGTAATCAACACATAACATGACAATATAATTTTGGTACGACAATATAATATGCCTTGGGTCGCCCAGAATGTGCATTCTGAAAGTGGGTCACACGTAAAATAAGGTTGTGAAGGACTGTTATTTGTATTTTCATTGTGCTTGGAGTTTTTACATTCCAGTTTTAATCCCACTGGGTTAATTAGAGAAGTGGGTGGTGGGTTAGATAGATGAATTTAGATAGATGAATAAATAATGAATGGATGATAGATAGATGAATTAATTAAATGAAATGTATGAAATTGCTACAAATGTTGACACATAAAAAAGAAAAAAACTATATACTACTAAAAAAAAATATAGAGTAAAAACAAAATGAAAACTTCACGACTAACACAACGTTAGTAAGACCTGAACTATAGCAGCAATGGTAATAGCGAGGTACATAGAGACTCATAACCATTGCCCGCTATATGAGCAGACCTTGTGAAGGTCAGTGCATTTTAGTTCATCTAAATAATAATTAAGTGATAGAGAGCGAAAATTTATTTTGCGTTTAATCTAGCTTCAGCAGCTTTAAAACGCTTTAGTTGCCTTGCGTTTATACAATTATAGCTTAATCACCGTCTTCAAAATATTCCTTTAAAAAGTTTAAATGGTCCTCATATACACACCCTACTTCTCGTCACTAAAGTTTAAACATTTCTTCGTCAAAACATGACAAGCTATTCTAGGAAGTTACATTCACTATTAGATCCATTGATACTTTTATAGAGATATTTAGGTCGGGTACCTTTGCAGTTTACATGACCCTCAAATTCACATCTGAATCTTGGCCGTCACTAAAATTCAATATTTTCTTCCTTGTAACATGATATTTTTTCTCCAGAAAGTTATGCTATGATTGCTATTAATATTCAAAATATGTATAATTTCGTCGTATTTTGATATGCACGTCTTTGATTTGGTCTTTTACAATATTTGAAGATTTAAGCACGGAAAGTGACGAAAGAAAACCTTAATGCAAAATTATGGGAAAAAACGGGATAAAGAAAAATAAATTAGAACAAAAACAACGGATTTCTGCTAAATCCAAAAGTCAATTTAGAAGAAAGCAACATCGACGTTAGTAAGACTCAAACTATAGCTGCAATGGTATTAGTGAGGGTGATATGGATACTCATTACCATTGCGCGCTATATGAGCCGACCTGAGTAGGTCAGTGCATTTGTAGTTCATAGCAGTTCAGCGATTGAAAGCGAAATTTGTTCATGCATATCGGTAATATGATTGATTTAAACGCTTTAGAGTAGTTTAATTTAATCAGACACTGCTGATACATCAAGATGGGGGTACTATGAAATTTCGCAGAATGCCAGTTTGCCTACGAGCGTTTGGCCGACAGACAGTTGACCGAAAGAACATTCACCAAACCGGAATTCGCTGACACCAAATTTTGCCGACAGGACGTTTCACCGACTGGACGTTTTGCGACAGCCAAATTCGTCGACAGCCAATTTGCCGACAACCAACTCGCCGACAAACATTTCGCCGACAAATTTTTTGTGTGTGATGTTGTGATTGATGGGTCGACAGATGTTTTGTTTTGTGGAGGACTGGTAGTCACCATGGAAAATCGTTATTTATACCTATACATACATACAGACCCACTTTTAATATGCAATATAAGATTCTGCTAAAATTATTATTATTTTTTTATTTATTTTTTTTGGTTAAATATTTTAGAACTATGGAAAATCACAAGGGACTGTAATAATTAACACAACATAAAGGGAATTTTTAAAAAAAATTGGTACAAATTGACAAGATACAAAGTGACCTTATTGCAAATTTAATGAAAAATTGAAATGTACAATATATTTTAAAGTAATTTTTTACCAAAATACGACGTATTACAAATTTACGGTAAAGTTAAAATATAAAAGTGGGAGAACATATTACAATGGTAATGGTATTTTCGTCAATAGTCTGTCGGCCAAATATCTGTCGGTGAAACGTCCAGCCAAGCCAAGATGGCCACTAGTGTGAGCATTAAGATCAGCTCACTTATAATCTCCATAAATAGCATACTGTTCCTGTGATGTGCTTACGTTTTACCTCACTGTTGAATCATCTAATGCATTCTCTATCAATTTTACTGTAAAAAATTGCTCAATTTAATTTAATTTCAACGATTTTACAATATTTTCAACAGTTGATCAATACATACGAAAGTTAAACCAAACAAACAAACAACCAGCCCTGAATTGATGGCGAAGCACTTAGTGCCATCAGAAAGAAAGAAATACTTTGCCGTAAGGCAGGATATCCAAACAATGTTGATGAATTTAAGATTGCAAAATGACATATTAAGTCCCTGGCTTATCAATTCTAAATATAATACTTACCTAAAACACCTTACTTTTTAATTCAAGTACAACCCAAAGCCACTATGTACATTTTTGAGATGCAAATCCAAAAGTAACCGTTATCCAAGCGTACTCAAAGATACCTATAATAAATCAGCATTCTCTTCTAACTGAAAAATCCACAATATTTAACAATTACTTTTATGCATCGTTTATTAATTCCTCTTTTGTACATTACCCAGACATACAACCTCTTACTAATGATTATTTATCTGATGTCTCTGTTACACCTGATTTGATATTATGTTATATTACCACTCTGAAGGTTAACGAAGCCTCTTGGCCAAGTGGCATCTCACCTCGTCTTCTTAAAATAATTGTGCGCCTTATATTTCCACTTCTCTTGCTAAACTGTTTAACCTCTCTTTAACCAATGGTAGAATACCCAGGAATGGAAAGAGTCAAATATTATTATTCCGATCCATAAAGGCGATGCTTGCATTCTTGTCTCCAACTTCCGACCGATCTCTTTTTAACACAATTCCCAAAATACTTGTGCATTTTGTAGTAGATACATCAACACCAATATTCAACAACACTTTTACCATCTTCAGTGCAGCTTCAGACAAATTGGTAGTGAAACACTCAACTAATGTTACCACGATATGGTAAATAATTTAAAAACTAATCTCCAAACAGATGTGATTAACCTGGACTTCTGAAACTTTTTTGACTCAATACCACATTCACTTCTTCTCCATAAAATCACCCAATTCGGCATACAAGCGAATATCTCGTGGCTGCACAATTATTTCTGCAACAGTCCCCAGAGGGTAGTGGTAGAGGGAGAATCTTCTTCATGGCTACCTGTCTTGTCTGGTGTGCCACATGAATCTCTCCTTTCCCTACACTTTTTCTCCTGTACATAATATGACGGCCATTTCTGAAATGCGGAATCTGCGGATTTTGCGGATTCTGCGGATTCAGGTAAAAATAGCATGAAA